AAAAAAAAAAAAAAAAATAAAATAAAATAAAATAAAAAAGTATTTCTTTAAAAAAGCACTTAGTGGAATAAGGACTTTTACTACAGTAGTTAAATAGCGAAACAGTAATATATTCAATGTTCAAAACTGTGCCATAGTAAAACAACGCTTAAACACCTCCAATGATAACAATACAAGAGAGTGAAAACTGAAATTGCAGGAAGAAATTTAATACATTAAGGCATCAGATGTAATTTCTGAAAACTGCTATACGCTGAGACAACTAGAAATGCGTATTATTTCAGAACCACACCAGAATTTTCAGGAGTTCCACTTGAACTGTTAATCATACTTCACCTCCTATTAATAAAAATGGTCAAGTAAAGAAGGACCTTTCAGATGTAAAGTGCCACTACCCGCTCATCGAGAACCATTAAGTTGTCTCACAACGCAATACAAACGCAAGATAAGAGCTAGTGCTTAAAGCAAATCAGAATTGCTCGAGACCGTAAGCAATGATACCAGTGCATTAACTAAAACGCCAATGAAACACGCATCGACATTTTATACAATAAAACTATTTCTTGACCAATACGAAAAAAATGCACGACTCTTTGCACGAAAAAAACTGAACAAAAATATTTTCTATCTAAAAGAAAAAGGAAAAAATCGTCTTTATATAACAATCCAACAAAATCAAAAATAGACAACTTAAGAACTCGAAAGAAAAACACGCATATGACAAATAAATTGAAATGACGATGCAACACACAAGGAAAAAATCTTGGAAAAAATTTCCATCGTAAGAGATACTCTTGGTAAAATACAGTAAAAGCCCAGACTAAAAGAGCCATTTAATAGAAAGTACGGTTATACCTGTTTTTAATCCGTCGTCAAGATCTGTGTGTAATAATTTAAAAAGGGTAAACCTGTAAGACAGACGAAATTTACAGAAAGCACGTAAAACTAAATAACTGCCCATGAACTGTCAACTTATGAGCAGTAGCTAGAACGTTATCTGTCGATCCCTAAAATATAAAGCTACCCTGAACGAGCAAATCCTATAAAGTTTTATAAGATCAGCCATTCTTAAAAAGGCACGTTCTCAAACTGAGGAGAAGACTGTCTCAAAGAACGTTCCTTAAAAACACAGCCAAAAAACATTTGTACAACACAGTGGAGAATGTTTCCAATATTCTTAAAACAACTGTGAGCTCAACTTACTTCAGTGAAGTAGCGTTAGAAGACAAGTGACCAAGAACAAAATATATAAAATAAACAAGACCAAATATAACACGACTGCACAAATAAGAATGAAAAAATTACAAACCCTGCACTAAAGATCAGATCGAGATCCATCCTTATTACTGACAGCTTCAGTTTTTATGAATGTTATTAAACGGTTCAGATAAGATGCATGAAGCTCAACATCGTTATGGCCAGCACCAGCCACCCAAAGTGGTTCTACCGAAGATGGGCAGCGCTCATAAATCGTAAGACCATGAGAAAAATCTATAACCTGAATCAAAAAAACGTAAGCTTTAAAGAAGAAAATCGTAGACAGGATTTACGAGGAACATGCACATAACTGTAACTAATTAAACAAAATCAAAGAGAAATAAGATATGATGCTGTAGCCAAGTTGAAAAAATGCAAACCTCATCATCTGTGCCATGTATCACGAGAGTCGGACATTTAACACGCGGTATTTTTTCAATCGAGGGAAAGGCATCACAGCACCAAGTTCTCTGGGTTCCAGGGCAAGCTACACGCATACCAGACATAAGCGGAGAATGCAGAACAAGTGCTGCTATAGAACTCTCAACGCTTGCTAAGTCTACACTTGCTACTGTACCTGAAGCAAAAAAATCGAACAAGAGTAAGTAATGAGTTTGAAAAATACTGGGTAATTACCTATAGACTGGCCGTAAAGAATGATATGATCTAAAGGTATCAGGTATCTGGTTTTTAGTGCATTAAGAGCTGCAGCAATATCGGCATATAAATTCCTCTCTGACGGTTTCCCACTAGAACATCCATAACCTAAAAGCAGAATAAGACAGCCATAAAACAATTAAAAAGATTCAAGAATGCCAATTTTAAAAAATTATTTTAGCAAATTGTAACAATGTGCCATAAATTAAAACTGCGAGGGATAGGAATGAGCTGAAATAACTAAGAACAACAGAAGTAATTTAGCGAATTAACCTGAGTAGTCATAACTGAAAACATTGCAACCCAATCGAACACCTAATAAATAATAAAAACTACACATTTGACCAAGATCAACGGCGTTTCCATGGGAGAATAAAAGAGTGAAATACGCATCACTGCATGACTTAACGTACATACACACGATTTTATTTCTAAAAATAATTTACTATACACTACTTCTGCCTCTCCCTCACT